CCGCGCCCGCGCCCGGGCTTGGCCACTGCTGCATTCTTACCAGCTTAGGCTCACCTGGGCCCGGGGCTGGGCCTCGCCCGCCGCCCAGAGTGGGGTGCAGGGTGAGGGGTGCACACTGTCTCCGGGGCAGCCCCCACCGCCTCTCTCTGCCCCCTCCCGGGCCACAGACCCGGGCGCTACACCCCGCCCCCTTCTCAGTCTGTACCCAGGGACCCTAAACTCCGGATCAGCCCGGGGCCCCAGCCTTACTGTCTGAAGTCGCCTGCTTGAGCTCAGAGTCCTCCGAATCTGGCCCAGTACAAACTATGTCTGGTTTGTTAGAAACGTAAAATATGCTTTAAATTTAATCCCACATGCTGGTTATACAAGTGTGCTCAGATTGTGAAAACTCAGCAAATTGGACGTTTAAGCTACATGTGCTTTTTGTGTGTCAAGATTACACTTGAATAAAAGTTTTAAAAATAGCCCTGGCTGGTGTGGCGGTTAGAGCGTTGGCCTGTGCACCAAAGAGCCCTGGGTTCGATTCCTAGTCAAGGTACAGGGGCTGCAGGCTCTACTGCCCCCCACTCCAGCCCCTGCCCCCCATAGGTAACCTCGGGAGGCAGCCAATTGTGTCTCTCTAACACCCATGTTTCTCTCTCTCTCTCCCTCCCTCCTTCCCTCCTTCCCTCTCTCCTTCTCTCTCCCTTTCCCCCTTCCTCCTTCCCTTCCACTCTCTCTAAAACTCAATGGAGAAAATATCTTCAGGTGAGGATTAACAACAACAAGAAAGCTTTAAAAAAATCAACACTCATTCAAGTCAGCACTCCAGGACAGAGCATGGCGGGGTGTGATGGCCAGGCAGTGGACTTTGACATAAGTATCCAGTTCAGATTCCCGCTCTTGGGAAAGTCCCTTCACCTCTGGGAGCCTCAGGAGGCGTGAACACCGGGGCCCTCAATGTGGAACCCAATCATTCCATTGTTATCCGGGACCAGGACTCAGGTCCTGGATAAGTGAGGTAAAGGGGGCACTCATCAGGGTGCAAAATCTAGGAGGGTGCCAAGGTACATAACATTGTAATGTAAAACTAAAACACCAAATCGGCGAATTACAGCCCTGCCAGTCAGCCGCCTATTTTTGCAAATAAAGTTTTATTGGAACCAGGGTCGAGATCAGGGTGAGCTGAGTGAGACAGGATCATGTAAGTTCAGGGTTAGATCCTGTTATTTAAAAGGTTGGCATTTTGTTCATCATGGGTTTTTTGGTATTAATTTTGATTTTTAGGTATATTGCAGGAAAGTCATTTATCTTACTGATCAACTTTTTTTTTTAATGCTCCCTTAAATTTTACACTGGAGCCGGTTGTCTTTCTCACTCTAGACCTTATGCACCTCACCCTAGTGCCTGGCCTGTTACTCTCCGCCTACAGGACCTGGCTAGGACCCCAGGGTAAATGAGCAGAGGTTGGGGTTTGCACCCCATCACACACACAGCACTGGGTGGGCTCTGTAAACCGGGTCTGGCCTAGCTTTCCTGGGGTCCACTGATCAGAGTAGAATGCAGTCCCTACAATGGCCTTGAAGCTCCGCGGGCTGGGCTCTGCCTGCCTCGGCCTTTACCTCCCTCCCTCATTTCCTCCCAGCCCTGCTGCTTCCTGCGTTTGTTTTTTCCATTTGCCTCAGTTGCTTGCCACAGGGCCTTTGCACTGGCTCTTCCCCTGCCCAACATGTGCTTCCCCTAGATATTCCTGTGGGCCCTCCTCCGTTCCTTATGGCCTCTGTTTATGTCACCTCCTCGGAGAGGCCATCCCAGACCCCTCACACTCTGTCCCTTCACACCACTGGGTTACTCTCCATAGGCCTCATCCCCATGTTTACTATTTACCTGTTCACTGGTGGGCAGAAAGCTCCAGGAGAGGAGGGACTTTGCCTTACCTGCTGGTGCATCCCCTAGGATTGTGTCTGCCACAAGGAGCTCAATAAGCATTTCCAGGGTCACATATGGGAGAACGAGGGGCCAGAGAGGGGAAGGGGCTAATGCATGGCACCATCCTACTGAATCCTGGGTTTCCAGATGCCCCCCCCCCACCGCGCCAGTGCTCTTACCATCCCCCCCTGCCCCCCCAGTGCTCTTACCATCCCTCTCCCCGAGCCCTCTAGGTCAGTGGTCGGCAAACTCATTAGTCAGCAGAGCCAAATTTCAAACGATTGAAATTTCTTTTGAGAGCCAAATTTTTTAAACTTAAACTATATGGGTAGGTACATTGTTATTAACTTAATTAAGGTACTCCTAAGGCTTAGGAAGAGCCACACTCAAGGGACCAAAGAGCCGCATGTGGCTCGCGAGCCGCAGTTTGCCGACCACGGCTCTAGGCACCAAGGGTGACCGTGAGCCTGCGTGGTCCTCCGTACAGTCCCTTCCACACAGCGCGCTCAGCAGACTGGCCCTGCTCCAGCCCTGGCGTCCAGCAGGCATGTCCAGCTCTTCCTGGCTTCCTGTCTCTGGCGTGGGGCCAGTCAGCCAGGCTGGGTTCTGCAGCTGGACCACAGCTGTGGCCTCCGCCTTATCCTGGAGAAAGTCCGACAGCACGCTGTGGAGCCACCTTCCTGCAGAGGGCTGTACAGAGGGTGTGTGTGTGTGTGTGTGTGTGTGTGTGTGTGTGTGCAGTGGGGGCAGCTGGGTAGGGACTGAGAACTTCCAACTCCCTCACGACTCCCTCCCTGACAGGCACTAATCCCCCCTTTCTGAAGGAAAGACCTGATGGGGTGAGGGGAGCTCTGAGCCATCCTGGAGATAGGGGATGACTGTGGTGGGTCGCATTTGGTAACTGGAGTTGGATATGCTCCATATGCCAGCCCTTTGCTAGATATTTCTAGATTTGTTGCTTCCTTTACTGCCCACACAGTTATTATCCCCATTTTACAGATGAGGAAACTGAGGCACAGTGAGGTGAAGTGACTTGCCCGGGGCCATAGAGCTAATAGTGGGTGCCCTGGGACTTGTACCACATCTTCTGAGGCCAAGTGCAGTACCATCCCCCCTACAGCCTTCCGCGGGTACAGAGGACTGTGCTGTTCTTCTTCATGTGTCCCCCACCTCCAAGCTGGCTGCCGAAGATGGAGGCATGGCCCTCTGCACCCCTCCTCTGTCCCCCTGGTAATTGGGGTACCAGGAGGTTGGCAGAGGACAGTGGAAAGAGT